ACTGGGGCGTATAGCAAGAACCAGACAGATCAAATATATGGAGACCTGTCTATTTTTTGCATGGTCTGCTAAGCTTTTGCGCAAGCTCAGCAGAGTTCACCGGTCAACACCATAATGCAACGATAATTGAACAATTACTTAGTTAGTTCTTTGTATGGCCCACTAGCGTTTATGGCAACAGCGTTACGTGGCGACGGACACAGATCACTTATCTGCCATAGGTTATTATCTCTAGATAAACCACTTTCTTTAATAACTTTCGCTACTTTTCCACGTTGACACCTTTAGATATTATGTAGTAAAGAGGTTTCTTCTCTACAAGTGCTTCGTCAGCATTAATCATTCTGTGTAGGACAATTGTCAAGTCTTCTGGCCAATATCGTCACTCAAATAAATTATTGTCGCTCGAAATTTGGCACCGATATTCTTCGGGAGCACGTGCCGCCATCTTGGCTATAGCAATTGTTCTTGCTGCCTCCATTGCTAGACCAGAAGTAGAAACACTACTCAGTTGACCTTGTTTTTGCGAGTTGTGCGCCTCCAGACCTCCCGGCAAAAGTCGCCGTCGTCCCACCACGATTTGATACAATAATCCAGTATTACGTGGGCTTCATACCGAGCGAATCGTCAAAACGTTGTTAACAAGCTCTCATACGCCTAAAGAAAGCGCGCATATATCGTTGTTCCACACATACAACCTGAGAAGCTAAACTATTAATGGAAACGTTAGTTTTTCACGCTTCTCTGCTGAGGTAAAGTAGAAAACCAGAGCGAAAGGTTATTGTTGTTAACGGTACTTTCACTGTAAATGAAATAAATCTGGACAATTTAATAGGAATAGCTAATTTATGTGATGACTGTGCTATATTTATAACTAAACGATAATTATTTACTCCCGATCAGTAGATGGCGCGCACGAAAACTGTGGGCAGGGGGTAGTTGGCATAATTTCGAATAGCCAGTGAAGCGGCTCGAAGTGGATGTACGAAATATGGCGTAGGCCGCCTATTTCATTTTGCCAGGTGTATTTGTATTCAGTTGCCACTGAGACAATCTGTTAATGAGCTAAGACAGTACTGAGCGTTATATAATGCGTATCTACGCGTTAGCGAAGCCGCGTTGCCTCATTTCATATATCCACGGCCAAGCGTCCGCAGAGAGCTGCGGGACGCCTTCAATGATATCCCGTAATTCCCTGATTGTTCACCTGTCGTCAGCAACCCTTTACCGACGAAGCTCGGCCAATAGCGCAATTAATTCTTGACATCACCATTAACAGAGGATTCAAGGAGAGTCGAGAGTAAACATGAGAGGGGAATGCGGGTGTATTAAAGCCAAGTGTCCTTTAGGACGATAACTTTATTATTGGCTCTATACATCCTATTACTCAGATAGACGGATTGTCGTAGTCAATCGTCTATCTGAGTTGTTCTAATATTTGTTATAATCGTACAGGCGTAGCGTAGGTGTCGACGAATCACCTTCTCGTTTGTCTATATAATGTTCCACGTTGTTTTTGAGGGATCTATATACTATAGACTGAATACAAGGGCAGAACGGGCGTCGAATAACTCGCATATACCGTACGATAAACGCGGTCGCTATATTTCGAAGCTAAAAGATAGCTAGATCAACATTATAAGAGAGATCAATTTTCGAGGGCATACTAAATTATGGCTTGATTCTACCTCAAGTTGAGCTGACGTATTCATCTTAGTACGAAACGGAAAGATAAAGGAATCGACTGGTGGGTAGCATACAGTCTCAGAAGTCTTATTGGCTATTTGTTGCGCAAAACAAGCAATAAACAATTCAATAATGGTTTGTGTATCATGTACTATAAAGCGATTCCTTTTACGTTTTTCAAATTCTAATGGACCTGGTGTCTTCGGATTATTCACTGCAGTTGGCCTTTTAGGCCTATCACCGCCTGTAGCACTACTTCGTTTATTTAACTTTTGACAAAACGTTAATCCTCCATATTAGGCAGCCATGATGATCCTCGCGGCCAATGTATCCATCCCTCAGTGTCAAAGCCTATCGTTTTAATAGTTTGCTATCAAATCACTTGGTTCGGAAGTGAGGTGATTTTAAAATTGCCCGCGCAGCTCACAAACAAATCACGGACAAGCTCCATAATCTAAGTCAGGCGGTATGAGATGCAAGCAAGCAGTGTACATATTGACTGGCGTAATGCGAGTTTAATCTATCTCGTTGGGTTATTACCCTGTACTTAAATTAACTGATAACGTTTCCGTTCTGTAAAGTTGTTGCGATAATGAAATAAGCCTAACGGAATCTCTCGGTTTTGAAGAGTAGGCTATTTTAGGGCTAGACAGTTGTTTGCCCTTAGTGTGGGTGTTGGTTCGTTAAGTTTTATGCATGTTATTTATCTTAGAGATCTTAGCTATTCTCCTGTTTAACGGTTCCGAGCTCCGGTGTCGAGACCTGCACGGTGCGCATTGCGCAAAGACCTCCAAGTGGAAAGTTAGGCCAACTAGTACTCGGCAATGCATTTTGATTCCGAATCGTCAAAAAGCAGTGTTTTCATCAAAGCTTTAAGCCGATTATTTATTTACCTTCGTCCTGGGCACGACGCTGTATTTGAGCGTTTCATACAGATACGCTATGCTCCATAGTCACGCTCAATGTTAGCTGGCATTACTGATCGTTGTCGTTTTTAGTTAATAGATTAGATTGACGAAGATTAGATTTATTGGAGCGCGCGTATAAAACGAACAAACATTTGTATTTGACCTGCTAGTTTTTTTGCTAACATTTCATTAGCCTGTGTCTCTATTTCTATTCTATAAAGGTTTCGTGATAACGAGATAGTGTGAGCGAATCGAAACGAAAGAATAGACCATAAACTTGCCTCGAAGAAACAGGATCGCCGAGACAAAGTCGATAAAAACACGGCATAAATAGCATCTGTTTCTTGCGTCCGGCTCGCTACTGGCCCTGTCACATCGCGAAGATCGACGGCCGCTCAGACGCGCGCCGTGAAAGCAGTTCTATTTGCCAATTTTTGCCATCGCTTGTTTTTTTTCGTGAGCACGCTCGCACTTTCTCTTTTCCCTAGTTGACACATTGCGCCAAACGAAGGTAATTGTGGTGTGAGCAAAAAAAAAGACTTGCAATTCGATAACGCTGGTTGAAGAGACGGTCGGACGCGTTAGTAGCACTTCGTCGAGAGGGGCAAACCCCTACCCCTTTGACAAAAGGGCAAGGCCGATGCGGCTGCGTTGACAAGCGTCAAGTACCTACAGTGCTGCAATAAGCCGTGTATTTACCCCGATATTTGTATGTAAGGACACTTCTTTTTCTATTGGCTGTATGATTGGATAAGATTACGAGTCAAACATGTTGTATTGGCAGTGCACGTTATTTGGAAGGCATGTTATCATAGCAATAATATTAAGCGGCGAGCTAGTAGATTGGAAAGATTTATAATAGTTCGATAAAATCACGAGAATGGTATCGCAAGACTAGCATCTTTGTTGCAAACGCCTGTATATTGAAGATAAGATTATTGATGTACTGATCATTACTGTGTTGTTGGCAATCGATCCATAAAGGATTAGCCAATTCAGCGGAGCACTCATTTCCTATTTAAACCGGCTACGTATTAGAATATAGCGACACTGGCAGCTAATAAGTCGACACTAGGAATTCTGTCGTGGACGCCTTTGAGCTTTACGGACATTTGATGGCTCATGTGTCGTCCTACGTACCCATCGCAATGGCCCGAAGCTCAACTAATAATAGATTTCTGAATAGAGTACTCTGAAGTCGACGGTGTGCTTTGGCCGAGGGAAACGCTGGTCGATCGATCGATTTACAAAACGAGGCACTTCATTATTCTCCGAGCATAGCTGGCCACTATGTAATTTATGTGAGCAAACACGAGCTGCTAAGACGAGTCAATAATTTCTCCTCAGTGCTCCTGCGAAGGGTCAACATCTAATTAGCTGGATGGCAAAAAACACGTCGTCAGCGTATTAAGCAGAAAGGAGTAGAGCTGCCATTAAGTAGGACGGCGTAATGTTTTTACGTAATCCACTGTCAACCAAAGAATTGGTCGTTCTTCATTTCAATATAGAAGCACGTTTTGATGCCTGCCAAACATAATCGCTCCTTGATAAGCGACGTACTCACTTTGAAGTAAAGCTGAGTACCCGTAATTAGCTCTGAGAGGTTTAGTGATAGGTGCAATTTCATGCTCAGTGTATCCGAGTGAAGCCCAATAGCTATCGCTGTCCTGAAGCGAACCAACATACGACTTTGCTCCGGCGAAATCTGTTCTCTCATATAACTGAGACAATCCAGACAGAGTGTATTTATTAAGCCAACAGATATCACTTATGAAAATTATCGTATGCATCTCGCCTTAAGGATAAACTGTTCTCGCAAGGATGAACTACGACTCGTCGTATACATCTGCAAATATAGTTTTCTCTGCGGACTGCCACAGTCTTTAAGCTCGCGCTTGTACCTCGGCGGCAGCTGGGCTGTGCTTTTATTCTAGAGCGAACACCTGCCGCGTGCTACACTGGCACATAGTAATCAATCGTTTTGTTCGCAATTGTGTACCGCTGCCGTCCCGTAAAATGCAGTAGTTATGGAAAACGTGGTTCTGATGGTAACTAGCGTACGTATGGACACGATTTGATGCCATTTCGAGCTGGGCAACACATACGACAAACAGCCGAATAGTTCAATGTTTGGAGATCTAGGCGCGTAATTGTTGCACGTCCTCACTATGTCCGAGCAAATAAACTAATATACGCACTATCTTCAAAATGTCTGATCCGCATTTTTGTTTTGTGCTTCGTCCGCTAAATTGCTGGCCACAGATAATAATAACAGATTGTTTCGTCATGCACCAGTATTGTTAATCGCCGCAGTATCCAAGCTTGAGCTTCTTTCTCATCTAAATAGTGACGCGGTGGTAAAATGCTGATGGCATGAGGGTTGCAAGACCAATCGTAAGTACGTACCTGGTTTTTCTGCAACGCCTACGGAGGGTGGTGGCAGCGGTTCGATCTTTGAGGCCGTGCTAACCGTAACAGGTCCTGCCGAAGAGACAGGCCCAGTCGCTGGGGCTGCGGTGGCCATCGAGACTGCGGCTAAAGCTGCCGTATCGCCAGTTACCCGAAGAACGCACTCTGGTGACCGAGGAGCTCGTGGCGAACTGTAACGGGGAAAGCAGAGCATAGAAAAAGCACAGAAGCATTTCAAATGAAACAAATAAACGTATGTAGCTAATTGAAGATGTGGCTTTATATAGAACGACAAAAAGGCAAGTAAAAAAAAAAGTTTCGTTGATGTGAATACGAGCGCCCGTTGTCAATTGCTTACATTGGTAGGGCAAAATACAGCTGGCCATGGTTGTAAACGTTTCAATTAAGTTCTATTATTTTTCGTAACTTACTATATACTAATACGAACTCAACAACTATAATCTGCGTACTCGTGTTTTATTTTCTTATAAATGACAAATCACGTCACTGTGTTTATACTTTTTAATCAAAAGAAACTATCTGATTTCTGATAGGCCACTACACATATACAGGTAGCCAACGCCGTTTTGTGTCTGCATGCTGTCACTTTGCCACACATCAGAAGCAGAAGGCACACGCAAGCTTGGATGCGAATCTGCAGACTGATAAACGGAATTGATTTCCACTAGTATAGATTTCGTCTCCTTTGACAACGCCTTCCCGAAATCATATTTTGCCGTAGATACAGACAGGGATAGTCGACTGGTGTCTGATATCGTAATGGTAAAGAATTCAGTACCACAAAAACTAGATCTCTTTGGGGTAAGCTCAATGTTTTTTATTATTTGCTTTGTATAATATGAACATATCCATCTTACAAAGATATTCTGTTCTCAAGGGTCAAATCATGAAGGCGCTGTTCACTCTAATTGTGGCAACAATGTATGTGACGTTCCTTTATCGAAAAGTTGCCCGTGCAATTTAGTTTTTTAACTGTCATGTAAAATGTCTAAGACTTTCTGCATAGACCCGCTGACGCTTACGACAAATGAAGACAGGTGTACTGCTTAAACTGGCGAAGAACTTTGACCTACCTGGCTGGTGAACTTTTGATATTAACAGCATCCTGCATCTTCAAGTCAGTGTCTTCTCCGTTAGACGGGTGAGACTCGTCTACGAGATCTTGCGTATACGCAACGTCAACGTCGGCCGGTTGCGTCTCAAGCTTAATGGGCGCATCGCTGAATGCTACCCGAAACTCGGCAACAAGAGGTTCATTTGGCGCCACATCAGCGGTTAATGTTAGGCATACTTCGCCCTCTGAAAGATAAACATTCATCAATGGGCATTTGTAATGAACCGGGAAGATTACATCGATGATAGACAATCCTTACAAAAATCTGACATTCTCATGCGAAAATATCTACTAATGTAAAATATGTGTTTCGATGCTCTTCTTGTGCAATGAATGAGTTCAGTTGGAATGTTGTATGTGCCATATGCTGGTTCGGACGTTCTTTGGTACTCAGCCGATCAATCGGTTATTTATGAATCATCATTCACGTAAGGTCGCTTTTGTGGTAAGCAAAGGGTAGGACGGATTTTCTGTCGATTAGACTGAGCCAGTCCTCTTTTATTCAGGTTTGTAATACCTTGATACAGGATTAGGCAGTTGGCGCCAGGATAGCTGGCGTTGGTACTAGTTCCGCAGCCCGTTACGTTTTCAGGGGCTGTTGAGTCGTCCTGTTGACGCTTCTTTGATTCGCGTAAAGTAGTACTATTCTGCTCATCAGTTTCAGAACGTAGACGGATACATTTTAACCAGGCACCCGCTTCATCTTCGAGACTAAGAACACTCAATGCGCCGGAAACCATAACCTAATGTTTACGCACAGACAATGTAAGACCCAAAAAGTAACGATTGTTAGAGCAAAATAAAAAGAATACGCTCACTTCAGTGGTTCACTGGGATAAGCCTAAAACGGAAAAAAATAATGCTCCTATATACTTGTATATAAATGTACGTTCCATTGTTTGGTATTATTTTGCAGTATTGTACAACGAAGTGTCTAAATTTTAAGTCGTTATACCTTACCTCAATATCACAGGAGAGCTCTGCCGAAATCGATTGCTCTGGACTAGCAGCATCATTCCGGCTTATGCTTTTTTTTCTCTTGTTGTTGTTCTCGCTTGAACCGACGGATCGAAGTGACGCTCTGAAGGGACCAAACAGAGTTCCTCGCTCTAGGCCTATGCGACACATGAGGCACACGCCAGCCCCCGAAAGCCCCGTTGGATCTGCCTGCTCATGTGACTGCCGAGTTCTGCTTCCGTCGGTCAATCTCAGAACGTCTTGTGGCAGCCGAAGAACTTCGGCCAAGCGCGCAAGTTCCTCGTCCATTTGCACATCTGCAATAAAATAGTAACATCACTTATTGCAGTCGCTGACGAAGTAAATGAGACAACCGGTTGATCAACTAGCCAGGTTGTGTTACGTGCAATATATTGGCTAAACGAAGAGTAAGAGACATGAATGAAGTCCGATTAAGGCAGCAACATGACATCATACCTGCTCTATAAAAAGTGACCCTATAAGAATCTGATAAAATGACTGTTAGACGTCAATCAGCTATGATATTTTATTAAAATCATCGCTACTCATCATAGATAGCAGCGCGTAACGTGTTTTTTCCGTATCCAGTAGGGTCAGAGATGACTGGAGAAGAATATGCTGAGGTTATAGCTGATAAATTTTTCAAAACTAGCAAATTACGCAGCTTTGCTGTAGCCTACAGATAAATCAATCGAAGAATATGAAATAATCTATTTTCCAGGTCACTGATCTCACATTAAATAGACAACTTATCAAGTATTTCAATTAAAAAAAGGCAACGTATCGTTATAATTCTTTATCTTTAGACGAATATGCGAACTTTTGAGAACCCCGCTTCGTCACTTCCGGGCAGTTCCTACAGCCAATCAAAGCTGACACTTCGTCCGATCCGGAAGTTTCGATTTCTATGAATCTTTATGACCATCTCACAATTTCACTTCCCAAAATGAACAAACATGGCGAAAACAGAAATTGGTAACTGTCAGAGAATTTTATTAACATCTTTATTGAAACTTGCTGTCATCGTTTCCATGCTCTTGCACAATCGATCGTCCCTTTCGATGCTCGTTACGCCAGTGCCGTGACACAACGGTAGACGTACATGAAACCACCTGCCTCGTGCTGAAAACACGCACACTCTCTCTTTTTGCCCCGGTTCTAGCTTCTCGCCGCTCCTCCCCCGAACGTGCCCGCCCCACAATTCGCTCCTCTGGGCAAGGAAGCCCTTTCCCAACACCGGGAATGCTCCGCCCAGTTTGCCGCATAATGAGGAAAAGCTGACCTGAATGTTTGCAGCGCCCTCTATGCTAGCCGCTCGAAATTTTCGTTTCGCTAAATAGAAAATTCTGTTGAGTACCTCCTAGAGGCGCTGAAGGTCCTTTTTAGTAGCGGGCAAGTTAGCTACCGTCTACTTTGTTTTTATTTACATAACTACTATTACAAGTTTTGGATTTTAGATTAGAAAAATTGGTGTGTCTTCTGAAGAAAGGTGGCGAGTACTTACAAGGACTTGACAGTAACTAGATGATAAAAAGTCGTTTCAGCACAATGATGGTAGTTGGTTTCCCTAATCTTTCAGTACCCTTCTTTTCGCAGGTTCAATAGCGTATCTTGATGTTTTAGTACATTTTTAGCTTTTTCCACACTGGACCGTATTTGTCGGTGAAAAATCATTTGGTTAGTTAAAGAGGGCCAACTGTTGTTTTTAGTCCTATAGTTCGCCAACTGATACGGTACGTCTTTGTTAAGTCACTCTATGCTGTACGAAATACGCGGACACGCCGCTATGTTATCAAGGAAACCTTATTCGGACTCTGTATCGCACAATTTATTTAAGATAAACTTTATATAGCAACGTTTGTTTTTGCCAATGATATCGCTAGTTCATTCACTTTGCCTCATCATTTTTTTCACGCCCACGAGAAAAGCGCCAGTGCTTTGCGGTGTAGCTGGGACGACGATAGGCCTGCTCTATAGATAACATAGTAAAGATGATGACTTGAACCGTTAAGTACATGATATGATCCTGCGGAATAAATACAGCGTTAATTTGGCCTTCTCTGTAAACATCCGGAGCACGGACTTCATGAGCCACGTCGTTCCGACGCCGAAGGTAATCGTAGCCACAACAAGGCTAAAAACTCGTGGCTATGTTATGCATATGAACGAGATTAAGAAAAAGGTCCCCTTTTTCCACAAGGGGACCGTGTATACGCTCTCCACATGCGTAACCGTATCAAAGGTGGCACATGTATATATCTAAGCGTGAAAAGGTTGGCAAGGGTCATAAACTTAGACAGATTATTTGTCTTTTTCACAAATGCCTTTAGCTGACCCCGCGGGTACTAAACGAACTTTTATTTCAAATCGAACGTAAACGCACGGAAAAACGTGGAAGAGGCTCGTGGCTCCTGTTCAGAACAGCAACTAGTGTCAAATATTTTATGGATTTGTGCAATCGAAATCGAAGATTTCCTGGGTCTGCGTTGTTTTCACTCTCACTGTGACCGTCAAGAGACCAAATAAGCTTTAATATTCGAAGTAAAGCATTCACCATGGGTACTACATTAAAGGGGCTTAAGATTTCATGAAAATGAGACAAGAGGTCACTTCTTGTGATTTCGAAACTTTGATGATGCGGACTTTTTTAATGTTTTAGTAGACTTTTGGCCTCTTATTAGATAGAATACACTTCAGATACGTTGATTTCTTCGTCTAGTGTATCCGAACGAGACGCCAACGACTCTATACGTATCAGCATTATGTTACTCACTGTTATTATTAAAAAGCTATTTACAAATGTGTGGAAGTAATATTTGAAGATTATGTGTGATTGGCTCAGAGCCCAAATCGAGACAAATGAAAGTTACATAAGATAGATACGTTTGTAGGGGTACGTGCAGGAAAACTTCATGGGATTTCCTGTTTCTAAATTTAAATAAAAGTCTACGTGTAAACAAAAATCAATCAAAATAACCTATCTAAGTGACCCAAAATGCTATTTCAGTAAAAGCGTTCATTAGGATTATTAAATAACCCTGTACGCTGCTCATTGCGTTGCGTACGAAGAGAAAAACTGAATCACATTGGCCGCTTTCGTTATCATGCTTGCGACAATCTTTTGGATTGGTGAAGCTATCACGTATAAAGAAAAACCAGTTTTTACGGAAACCTCATGGAAAACGAGGACCTCCATGCCAATACTGTGATACCGTTTCGAGCAAGCTTAATCAAGTTGCCCGCATTTGTTTTCACCGTCATGTCCCTTAGCGGCAAACACCATTACAACGACTGATAACGACTCGAAAAAACTTTCTTATTTAATATATCTATCGGCTTTCCATACAAAAGGACAAAATTTAATCATAAACGCTGTAAGCAATGCTATCAAATAGCTCAATTTATATCCAATCCAATTGAAGTCATCGAATACGAGATGTCAACGTATCGTCATCATGCGCAGAAATCTTCTAATTCTCTAACCTTTTCTTTCTGGCCGTCGCTGTCATCCTATAACTGGACCACAGCCCCGTCTTTCCGCCATGTTACCTCACCTCATTTCCGATAGCAGTAACTCGACGCAGAAAGTTTTCAACTACTCCACAATTGATTACACAAGGGGTGAGAGCAGGTTTCTGGAAAAGTTTCACCCACTGCTCTTGCTAACCAATGCGATCACCGGTTCAACATTCCTTTGGCACTAACCCCATACCACGCTGATCGCTAAGCGCACCTCGCGATGACTGGACTCTAATTGTGGATCGCTCAATCTGACAACTTCTGTTCAGAAGCCAGCTACTGTTACTCACTGATCAACTGAACTTGTCGGTCGGTCGGTCTGCGTCTATCCATATACGTGCACGATCTAATATGTAGCATGCTTCAGTTGGCGTTACTTCTCTCGCTTCCCTCGACTACTGCTTTGTGGACTCAGGGCGGAATGATGTTCCACTAGCTGACGATCGCAGCATTAACACGAACGGTAGTAGCAGTAGTGATGCGTTACTGATAATAGCGCTGACTGCTTTTCCGCGTTATCTTTACACACAGCAGTTTCTCCGCTGTAGAAGTCGCAGTGGTGCTGTGTAGCCGAAGGAGAAGCACAAACAGCCTAAGTGATAACAGCGGTAAGGTCGAAATCTACCGCAGCGCTTTTCTGTCTACGTCTACCTGTACGCAAGGGCTGCTGATAACAATTACAATAGATAACATTACTGCTTATGCGGCTAGCTGTTGTAACTGTAGCTGATCTACGAATCATATGATAAGCATCATAGCCAGCTGAAATGAGGTACCGGAACGAACCGAACTGGGAAAGCAAATAAATCACTAACTGTACAACAAACGTCAACTTACTAACATATAATTAGTATTACCAAAAATAGGCTAACCCGCACAACAACAAGTATGACAAGGCGTCTATCGCGATAGTTTGACGCGACTGAATTGTTTCCTTGGACGTGATACGCACCATTGGTTCACCATTAGAAAGGACTGGCATGAGTAAGTGCCAAGAAAGGCCATGAGCAAAAACGTCGCTCGAGAACTACTGCACCGGCTAATGAAGTCCGTGAAAAATGCTAATTCATGGATGAAATAAGGAAAACATGGCTATTTTTGTTCCTGTTCTTGCTGGTGTCTTCGTTAGTTTTGCTGATTTATGTGTTTTACTGAAAGGATTAATATTTGTAAGATGTACGTTTTATATACATGTACATTTTTTTAATCAATCTGGCAAGGATATCTGCGTGTTCCAATGATAAGCTTTTTAATATTATTATATCGTTGATTGCATCGGTTTTCAGCGTTCAGTGGCGGTGATGGTCGTCGTGCCAATGACGGCGGAGGTCTATACGAGGTGTGTAATTTAAATGTAATAGTATGTCTGCACAGCACGCACGCCCAAAGTAAAATGGAAAGGCGCCGTTCAACATCGTCTACAGTAGTCCTAATTCTATGCAACTTCGGGCATAAAACTCGTAAGGCAAAGCAATCAGCAAGTGATATATACTAACTAGCTAAAATATGGCATACTATAATTAGTGGTTCATATAACGGATAGGACTCATAAATAACTTTCACCCTTTGCCTGTCTGTAGAGCCGTAACGCAACACAAGCTGTTAGAATGGCACAAGTGTTTCTTTTTTTCGATACCAAGTTGCCTTGGCACTTATTATTGAAGTGATCGTATTTTTAATGAGGTACCGCGTAATGCCTTGTGGGTATTCCTGCCATCAACAGGTACTAGCTAACGAAGCCTCTGCAGCTGAATAAGGAAAACGTCACCCCGGTTTT